CAGTGCATTTGCTCTGTTGTAAATAACTGGATGTCTTTGGCCTGAGATAAGTGACCTTGGACATGCGCTAATGACCTTGAATCTGGGGGCCGGGGCCTTGGCCTCGACCAGCGACTTTGGGTCTCTGAACAAATTGCCTTAGGTTGAAGACAGATAACCTTGGACCGTGACAATGGAGTTGTAGCCATTAACTCTACAATGAGACCAATGACCTTTTAAGGGACCGTGACCTTGCACTAAAACCGATGACCTTCAACTGCATATTTGATCCCTTCGATACTATTAGGAGACAGGGTAGCAATTAATTTAACACCGTACGTATAAATTATTAATTATACTTCTTAATCCAATGAAACATCTGGTGTTCGCCACTGTGCTTACCTACGTATTATGTGTCGGTAGTACAACCGACCGTATTGAACTCGCGTGGGCACAATTGGTTAGCGGCAAAGCAGTCTACGTCGCATCGAGGGGTTATCTCACGAGGCCATAGACAACACAAATACTTCACCATGTAAATACTGTATACGATATGTGGAGATCCTGCAGAAAGATGATCTTGTAGACAATACCAATCAAAGGTAATTCTCTTCTGGGAAATTGAAGAATATAGTCTCATAGAAATTGACATTTCAGACGTGGTTATTGCCATCATCAGGGTGATCCCTCTAGATTTTGCTTTGTTAGCTCTGTCAGTAGAAAATTCAGTATGTCCATAAATTAGCGGACGATTTGTAAAACTTAACGAAAACTTAGGTATTAGCTTCCGTGACCAGACTGAAAAAAAAATTGATGTTACGAGACTGTCTTGAAGTACATACGTTTCTCGTGTGTGTTATAAATTAATTACATTCCATTCAAATCGTCAGCTAATTTATGGACATTCTATATTTTGTATTTGAAGTAAATATTAAGAGTGAAGCATAACAATGAATGCGTTTATGAACACTACACTGACAAGCGATCATACTGAGAAACATTCGAAGTTCGATATTATTGTAATATATTGAACCAGCTTATCATTTGCCCCACCTATTCGTCACATTTTATCTTCAAGTCGATTTAAGAGAAGAACTAAACCGTCCGACGAAGCCTGCTCTTGAATTAAGTACTGAGGTTCTGGATTAACTAGGACAATATCACGATACATATCTCCTGATTAAGACTACAATACGACGGGCTTCAATTCAGATAGAAACATTCAGATAATTCGTGTCTCAATGACTTCTGACGAGAAAAATATCGGCCAGAGTGACGTTTAAAAACACTGGTAAAAATAAAAAGTTCAGCGGATTTCAATGAAACTCAGAGGTGAATAAACGAGTTCTTTTTTCACAATCTTTATCATGTCCTACACGAGTTTGTGGGTTTCAACTAAACTGTTCAGACATAGAAATAAAAAAATATAATATTAAAATGGATGTTAAAAACGTAAGTTATAAGTGTGTGTACTAAATCCATCTTGTTCGGGATACAGCCCGGTAGCATGGCCCTGTAAACATTGTAATGAACCTTCGAGTGTGGTTTTTGTATAAAAGTTGTACTCTTTAGAGTTTAAGCTTATTTTTTATTGTATGCTTACCTTCCGTGTATCTCCGAACGATTGCCGTCTTACCTGAAAACAAAGAGAGAATAAAGCGTGCATAATAAGACAATCGTTTGGTAATACATGCACGGCGAAGCATGGACTGTCAGAGTCGTAAACTCGATTAACGCCAGCACGGTAACCACACGGTGAACTGCGTGCAACTTTACGAAATAAAGGTAATTTAGATTCATCACGGCAAAAAAGAAGAGCCACTTTCATTGGAAGTGATTCAATAAAAAACATTTATTTTCTTTTTTTCGTTGACGATTCTGTGTAAACCGTGCAAAGAGCACTTTGAAGTTGAAGCTCGTCTAAATAGTATTTAAAAAAATCAGTCCGTACCGCAAAGAAAACGGCACTTCACCATCACAAAGATCAACTGTTCATTGCTGTCTGAGGTAATAATCACAGCTGACATTGAGAATCATACAAAACACATAAATACAAAATGCACGGTTACTGATTGTTAGTAAAGATGGTATATATAGTTACCACTGGGACTTAAGGGTTAACTGACAAAGAGATTTGTCCACGTGCGTAGCGGGAAGTGTTTACCAACTACGTCAGAGCAGCAAACTAAGGATGATATTCAATAACTCCACTGGTTTCTGTGCCCTTGAACAAGAGACAGTAATTCTGCAGTTTAATACCATTCATTGGCTATTTCTGCAGCGCCGGCTTGGACTGACGACACAAGAATCAAGTCTGTCACATGCATCGGACGATGTTTGGTATTTCGTTGCCTCTTCCCTTAACGTTAAGAGGTGAGTTGGCTTTACTCTCGACAAGCAGACATGAACAATCATTTCGCATCTACCAGTCTGTTGTGTGGCTGTAGGGTAGCCCCGAGAAGCATCGCGGAAAAAGCAAGGTGTCGCAATGGACGAGAATTTAATTTCGCATGACCTTGTCTTTGGTCACAATAATAAATTTCAATGCGTTAATACTGGAATAAACGTTTATCAAAGCAAGTTAAAATCCACCTACACAACTTATTTTCTTGTTTACCCTTCGCAAGTATCTGAGATAAGCTCAAAAATGTACATATGCACTTACCTTTACGATCACAGATCAGATTTACTGATTAGCCCATCAAAGCAGAAGCTCGTCTAAATAGTGTTTAAGAATTCAGTCCGTTCCGGAAAGAAAACATTTCGCCATTACAGAGAACAAGTAAAAATACCGTTTGAGGAAATAACCCATTTATAGAGAGATCATATGAAATCTATAAATATAAACTAAAGCGTTACTGATTGTCCGTATTCGGGAGGTCCCGGGTTAAAATCTCGGCCCAGAGAACGGCTATCCTGAGGTTTTTCGTGGTTGTCCTCAGCCCCTCAAGAAAATGCCAGGGTAGTACCTTAAATGATGCCACGACCACTTCCTTCAACATCCCTTCCAATTCATTATGCACTATAATTGACGATATATAGTCTGAGTTGCTGAAAATGCGTCGTTAAATAAACTACAAATAAATAAAGCCGATGGTACATATAGTTACCGCCCGGTTTTAAAGGATCAAAATAAGATACCTACATAAAACAATCATACAATTCAGACATGAAGTTAAATTAAAAGATGTTGGTACGCAACAGCCTCACAGTCGGAAGATTTGTTTCGGACGGGAGACAGGCTACGATCACGTTTACAGTCTCTTCATAAAAATACCAAAGTATTACCTCTCGAAGTATGCCTGTCCTAGATCACTCTATTCGTCATTCGCATCATTCAAAGCATCATAACACACAGTTTATACAATGTCGTTAAATAACCAACTTAACAAAGAGTAATATACATCCCGTGGGAATTACTCGTCCGATGCTTTCCTATTCACGGTGGTCTGAAACAAGATGATTTCTTTACCTTGATGTATTCTACCAGTAATACCACGGCGATTTAACTTTGCGATGCTTTTGTCAATCACATTCGGAGCGTTTCAATTACAGTCAATGGGCATGATAACATCAGAACACGCCCAGTTAATTTTGGCTCACTTGATAACTGTTTATACAAAATTTAATGACGCTGTTTTTTCTTCAGAGGTGTTTTAGACCCAATACGAGAAAATGGCTACTCAAGTTGATCACAGTCGTAATTTTAAACTACTGCTTTGACATTCCCTGGGATCTACATAAGAAAACCACGCAGGACCCCCCTCCCCCCCAGCGGCACAAGTAATCTGGAACAAAAAAAACGGCAGCTAATTTGCTAACCCAACAGGAACAAGAAAAATTTCGCTCCGGCCTATCCCCACCGAAAATTGTTTACACATGAAACATGTTACACTGGACTTCGTGGTCATAACATATCCTCCGGATCATTCGTGGGTTCCCTCACCTACAACGGTGGATCTTGTTGAAGTTAACATCTATTCTGTTGCTGTTTACACGAATTCAGTCACCACGGAGTCAAATATGGAGCTGTTGTTTGACAACCTGTGCATTTTAATCAGGGTTTAATCAGGAACAAAAGTGCATAAAGAAACGAAACCTTTCTTACCAACGCCGTAATCTCCAACGATCAGAAATTTGAATAGTAATTCCCGACTAACTGCACTCCGATTCGAACGCGCGGTGTCGTCTTTCTCCAGAGCGGATGTGGAACTCATGTCTCAATCAGCAACGAAAACATCGAACAGCTGTTTCCATTCTCCCAAATCCATCTCACACAAAACACGTCCAAATACCTAGCGGTCAACTATTCCACTGACAGACGAGAGAAAAATACTTTTACTTGTTCCTATATACTTGCAGTCATGACATTGGAAACGATTCATCAATCAGACTGTAGATGGCAAACTATACAACCTCACTATTGCCATCTGTTACAATTTATGCGTATTACTACTGATATCAACTGAGCAATCAATTTTAAACGGGGAAGACTGAATGTGGTCAGTGTTTGTGTAACGTTACAAATTTTCGAAACATAAGCCGTTAATTATTGTCACGCAAATAAACACTTTTGGGCATGATAGTCATAATTACACCTGTTTATATGTTCTCCTGAAGGGGATGGGCAACATTTTCCAAATGAAGAGCCCTGTACTCTTCACTAACATTATCAGAGATCAAAGCAAGGGCAGTGAAATGGATGAACTACCGCAATCCCCCAACTCTCCCACTGGCTCCCTTGCTCAGTCTGTCCTCACCTCTATTCTTCTCCTAGTTTCATTCCCTACTTTCATGCACTTGACATTTCTAACCTGAAAAACTTTTCACTTTCTTCAGAAATCTTAATGTACATCACATGTTGTTCCTCAGTTTTATTACCTTAGTATTCACAGAATGAGTAAAATTTTGGACATTTCATTCTGTATGTCACTGTCAGGCCCATTTACTTTCCAACATACCTTTGACAATTTATACCATTGTTTCTTTGAGTAATAATTAAAAAGTTTTAACCTCAATCTCACTGTCAGACCCTTTACAGTCTGGAATGTATATTATATATTCCCATGCATCTGGAAATAAACTACAAAACTCGATTCTATCCAGGTACAAACAGCCTTAGATGATGAATATCTTTAAACCAGCTACACAATCTCTTTTCGGTTTCACATTAATTACAGAATTACCAAGATAAAGCTGCAAAGTAAAATAAATAAATAAAAATTGATTAATCACATTTCTATTATATTTGCTTGTAAACTGTCAAATGTTCTCTCATAAAATACATGAACAACGATCTACAATAATTTATAATAAATATTAATAATGTGCTATGATTCACCATCTCATAAAATCAAGTATATTACCAGAAAATGTACATTATGGACCAGTCTGTGTAGTACAGCAGCACACAATCACAGCAAAAGTTACTGTACATTCCATACTTTCCAGGGTCGTGGGTTATATATGGCATATACAACTTTGGCTTTCAGGAAAGAACCACTTATCATCAAAGGCCTAGGTAATACAATGAACTCCAGTTGTGAAAACATACAAACAAGAATTGCATGTGGCATGTATACTGTATCCATGATTCTGAATAGACTACCCATCTTGCAATAACAGTATTGTAATTTACAGTGCCTGGATAGGCAATGTGCCTCAGGTCCAGACCAAATTAAGAACACAGAAAATTAACACAGGTCATGTCTCTACAATCTCACGAAACATACTGGACCGAACACATGCATTACAGGACTCCAGACAACAACGGGAAGGCTGTTTCATCAAACAATTGGAACTCCAGGGCCAATGTGGACAATGTGACAAAGAGAAAAATCCTGCTGGGAATTGAACCCGTCGGCCACCATAGAGACCAAGCTAACCCAACTCTTCATAGGAGGAAGTAAATTATTGATTTATTCTGATTCTTTCATACAGATGTAGTGAGAAATTTGATATTGTATAGGTTTTTGCAACTGGAAGCAATAGACTGTAAGACCTACTGAAGTCTATTCTTAACAGGACCACAACACTCAGTTATAATTCTTTGCAGCTAGATCGGTTTGTGAAATTCTGTATCATATAGCACACAGGACTTAATTTAAACATTATGGAAGTCAGTGTATCATAGCACATCTTACAAATCAATACAGTTTCAAGTTTAAATGACTAGCATTATCAAGCAATCATTCCAACCATACACAGACTTTTCCAATCAATATTTTGCAGTTCACCAGTTTATCTTTTTCTTCAATTAAATGCAAATATTTTCATTATATAACTGTTTACTAAACTTAGTGTCTAAAAAGAATTTCTGTACTACTTCTGACTTTGAGAAAACAAAATCTCCAACAAAATGTGTATGAAAATGAGACCAAAGGTGGAACCCATCTAGAAATGTTGAAGAAGTCAGCACATTCAGTAAGTATGGCATATTTACAGACTATAAGACACCCAACATATAAGAAGACATATTTACAAAATGGAACATGTTGCAGAAAAATATTTGTCCGCATGAAAATTTGTATATATATTTCTCCAGCACAAACATAAACCTTTTTCCAAATTGCTTCATAATGGCTGTTTTAGGTCCACAGAATAGTTTTCTAGTGAAATTTGTACCTGTTACAGCAATTGTCTTTTGTCTTTCCTCTAGCACCACAAAAACATTTCCTGGATGCCATGTATTAATTTTTGTAGTGTATCTGACAGTAATTTAAAACTGACATCATACATAATTCTCAAAAATAAAGAAAATTACACATCAAGAATCTTGTTTCCACGTAATCTTGCATGTTCGCATGACATTATTTCATTCAAGAAGAACAACTACTGTAAACACTTTAAAAATATATTACTCTTAAAAAGAAATAATACTGATTGTGTAATAAATGTATGTCAACTTGCAATAAGCAGAAATGACCATAGATGATGAAGATATAAGAAATTCCAATATTAGCATTTATGATTTGAAGCTGAAACTCATTTAAATAATATTTAAAAATTCAGTTCTTACATCAAGGATGATACCTTACTTCTATAATATTTTCATACAACTACAACAATCAGAAGCATTTATTTTCTATCTTACCTGAGAATCAAATCTTAATGTAGCACCATCAATACATTAAATAACAAATACTGCAATTACATGCAGTTACATGACTGCATAAACAAATTAAAATCAAGAGTTACAAAAAGTAAATATATTAATCAAACAAATAAAATCGCTAATAAGTAAACTAGAGGTGACCAAAATGTACAGGATAGTGGAAGACCTTCAGATAAATACTGGTTTCCAAGAAACTGGAAAAAATATTTCACTGCATTTCACACGATCACCAAATCACAAGCGGAAAAGCCCAGAAATTAGTTAGTTCTGCATGTAATGATTATGGGGCACAATAACCATAATAAGACACCAGAGGACACAAATGTTTTGATTGAGGAGTTTGTAAGATACTTTCCATTCAGAGTTGCATTCTACAGGCCTTCTGGCAGAAAAAATATGTATTTTCCATCACATTTATCAGTCACAGAAAAATTGTGTCCCTATGTCAAGTGCAACAAAATTCATACTTTATACAAAATTTATACAGTTTTTTATGTTCCTCTCAGAATGGAAACTGCATGACTAATCATACTTTGATCTCAATACTTCAACATTTATAATAATTACTCATAGTAAACATGTACATGATCTGTTCACACTAAAACAAACCTGATTATGTGTTAACATGGCCCATCACCAATTTATCATCTATCTGTTGATCCCTTAAAACAATTGCAATGCATTTAGTGAATGAACAACATACAGAAACGATCACCTAAAGACTGTTTGCCTCTTCAGGTCTTAATTCGCTGCTTGACATGTTCTTCAGCAGCTTCAAGCAACTTCTTCTCCGTTATCAGCAACTGAACAGCTAGACGAGAGCATGGTGTCAGTTGAAGATGCTTCAGCTTCGTACAGTCTTCCTGTAACATGGCAATATTTCTCAATTGAGCCATGTAAACAATGGCTACTTACAGTTTTATATTCTGACAAGAAACTGAAAATAAAGCCCATTACACACCATTTAAAATTCTAATTTCTCTCCATTATTATACCTGTTAATTTCAAATTACTGCATATACTGTAAACTTACTTCCAGCGTAGTGGTATAGGCATGTTGCAGGAGATTAATCCTGTCAAGGAGAAACTTCCACATCTTGGACTCCACATCTGTCTCAAGTGCACAGTCGGGGTATACAAGGTCAGAACTGTGATCACTGGACAGCCAGTGGTTCAGGTGCTCTGCCAGGTAAATACAATATCACAACTCTCTCATTATCATTTGCAATGGACAAGAACCATGTTTAAGTAGGTAGAAAGTGCCCTTCTGAAAGAACACGTTCTGGTTGAGTAGAACTTTTAGTTAATAAAACAACTAGGAGCAGATTAGGTTAGACAGCATAGTTTCAAACTGAAATGGTAGATCAATATTCAATTAATAGGGACAGCCTACATCTCCAGGGCTGGACAAGACTTTGTGAGGTCCTAAGCAGTAAAAAAGATGATGCCCTTACATAAATTAAAAAACAGGAATAATCATTAATTCACATTAATGGTTTTATATGAATAACTGCATGAGCAAACTTTATGACAGGGTATAATCTAACAAAAGCCAAACCTCTGACTAGGCTGAGACTAACTTACATTCAACTTTCTTTATTAAAGATTCAAAACATTTGATTTCATCTTTATTTACTTTTACCATAAACACAATCTTTGACTGAATGGGTGCCCTTAAACTATTACAGGTATTTCTAAAAATGTTCTCAGTATCTGGAAGAACTTCAAAAGATGAGGTTCTAAGCAAAAGCTTATTTAGCTTATACAGTAGAGTCCTGGTATCTGACCTTCAATTATTCAATATCCCATTTCATTAAACATGCTGTGTCAGAATTTTATCAACAGTCAACTCAGCATGTAGTATAATTAATCATACTACTCCACCACGCACCTTCCACATTTTATGTACTCTGCTGCTACAGAGGTACTATCAGTCAGACGCTGGCATGACCTTGCCGCAAAGAAAAGAAAGAAGGCTCAGAAGCAAATACCCATTACTAATTTCTTTAAAAGAACTCTTTCATTTACAAATTTACCTTATGTTAAATAATGTTTTTGTTTGTGAGATTTTGATGCTGTATTGTATTTTCTTCGTACTTAAACATCATAAACTGAGTTTTGAATTGAAATGAATTTTACCCTCACCTTTCCACAGTCTTCAGTATTATCTGGCATTTTTGATTATCTGACCATCCTCTGGCCCCATTTAGGTCAGTTAATCAGGAGTCTACTGTAAGACTTGGTACTTAGGCTAGAGAACACTACAGCAATTTAAGAATATGAGTTATGATTTCCTTTTCATGCCATTCAAGTGTGATACACTTACACCATTCTCTCAATCACACTGTTTTGGATAATTCTCTATGTATTCTTTACACATTAATACATAATAAGTCAAATTAAACCCTGGTCTATATGAATCTCATATTGAATTTTATTATTTTCTCATAAACAGCTTACCCTACAAAACATTGACACAAAATAAAACACAGAGTCCATTAAATTTTACAGAATTAATCTAAAACAATTTCCATATTGCTTTTCATAATGCTTTCGTAAAAAGTTACAGAGAAAAAGTTCAGAAGCACATTATATTGTATGAAGCTGTTCAATGTGTGGGCTTAAATCATAGGAGATAATCTCATTGGTCCAGATATATTACCAGTAAGACTTACTGGTCCACAGTTCCTGCAATTTCTCCATAGAGATTTACCTCAATTACTGGGGGATATTTAATTGCACACAAGACAACGGATGTGGTTTTTGCACAACAGTGCTCCAGCACATTTCAGTCTGGCTGTACAGGGGTGGTTAGGTAGGCATAATCCAGGATGATGGATCAATGAAGGGCCCAAAGCACCATGGTCACCAGACCTTAATCCCACACACTTTTCCTTGCGGAGTTCCATGATAAATGTGGTTTACGTCAACACCATTGACACCAAACTGCAACGTTCGCAAAGCACACAGGATGCAACAAACAAGATTTATACCACACCTGGGGTATTCAAAATGTCTGAGACATTCTGTGTTCATGCCCATGGGAGCATTTTGAGCATCTGTTGAAAAACGTGCAATATGTAAACCATCCCACAGTGAAGTATTTCACATTTCAGAGATGTTGGAACATTACATCCTTAAATTGTTATCTTCTGTTACTTTTTACAGAAGCACTTCTGGAGCAATATCCATCAGACCCTGACCTATATTGATGACCTGAAGCTCCACTATCATTTACGACACAAAATTTAGAAACACCTTATATATTGTCTCTGGTGCATGGCACTTACAGCTTCATTTCACATGGAATAACTTCATGACATCTGCTATGCACTGAGTTGAAAAACATGGAATGGTATAATCTTTACCTACCTGGTCCCATACTAAAGACCCTGAGGAATGCCAGCAACCTCCCATCAACTGGATCTGGCCCTTTCTTAAGCATAAAGTCCCCAATTGCCGGAATGCCAAGGTGACCTAACAGCTCGACACGTTTTGCTTGCAGTAGATCACCTCGACTGATGCCTAGTCTCAGACGTAGACCATCATGTTCATTTTCAGGATACACAAATCCATTGTGTACAAACAGCTCCGAATTAGTTCTTGGTCCATAAAAGATGAAAATCTGTTCCCCTGCTTTATAGTCACGGCACGCCACACATTCACTGCGATTCTTCTCTGCATTGAAGTCTGTGGACAACTGCAGAAAGCAGCTACCTACATCATAGTGCCTCCAGTTATGGTCTTTTGGCCTCTGCCCACCTGGCAAAGTTAACAGAATCTACTTCTGAGGTGGAAGAGCTCAGAGCATGGGATTCCATTTACTAATGGTCATGGATGCTGATGAAGTAATGGCTATGTTTTTTCTTGGGCTTGAAATACAGCTATGTAACTATGTACTAGCACACAAATTGTAAGCAGAGGTCAGGTTTCAAATACTGCCCACTTACTAGCACAGAATATCTCAAGAATGTGATAGTAACTGTCCTTCTAATGATTCAGATGGCACTAGTATCCAAAAGGATATGGCAGTGTTTGAAACTGGTATATTTAACATGTTTTAATGACTTAACTGGAACAAATTTTTGTACATAAATCAGTAAACATTTTCAAAATCAAGTCGTGTATTATCACAGACCAGTTAGTACCTGGGTACTAGTAATCAAACATCTACACTATTTGAAGATGGCTGTCCTGTGGGTTGTTGCACCGTACAACAAACCAGAAATCTCACATCTATACTATTTCACTATAAACATGAGGCTGACCATTAATTTTATTATAAAGTTTACACATATTATTACCACAGAAATTTAAGTTTATACTTTCTATAAGGACAGTAACCCTTACTGTCTGACTGAATGTAAACACTAACTAACTAACTAGATGGCTTACCGAACCCGAAGGTTCATCACCGAATTAACCAAAGCCCTCCATCAGACCCTGTCCTGGGCCAACAAAATCCAGTCTCCTTCAACTCCTATCTCCCATTGATCCCGCCTACACTAAAGAAATTAAGTGTAGGCAGCAAACAAAAAATGCAAATTCTCAAAATACACTGCAACACGAAAATATGATAAAAATGATATACTTATCATATTTACCTTCCCATTGGTATGATTACACATGTCCCACATAGGAATAAGAGCATTCAGCATGGAATTACCATCAATGGAAGGCACAAAGTTCTGTCGAGTCATCACTGTTGATACTGCCCAGCTGTCGACAAACAACACTTTTTACTTTCATCAGTTTAATAAAAAATAACAACAATGGTACGTTTTCCCTTTCTTTGTGCAGTTTTTCGTCTCATCAATATGCCTGTGCATATTTGTTATCACTGAGAAGAAAGTCTCAGTTTAGATTGAAAACTGACAGAGGCCTAATATAATCAGGAGGCCTGACCTAAAGCACGCATGAAGAAACTAGAGAACTTGCAAAAATCCTAATAATGTTAGTTATATAAGGGAAACCGTGTAATCCATCGCTAGCCACGATACAGAATCAGACGTCTGCAAACACAATAGTGAGAAGTGGAGCAGCATAATTCATGTAAGTGATGCAAGCTACGCATTAATTTATTAAAGCAATATCGTGACAAATCCACAGGCTCTAGTCTCAGGCAGTGTTAACACTGTTCACCTCGAAATAGTCCAATTATTTGGTCTGGCATGCGGTTCCAGGTTGAAAGAAATGGGCAAGATCCATGATATGAGGCAGTTATCATTGTTACTTAACAATACTTTCATACTTGCAAATGCAGAATTAAATAACAAACAACAAGGAAGCAAACATATTAATACTACAGCAAACGATGACATAGGTTGAAGATGAAGAAGGAACCTCTGAAACGTTGGTAAGCTTCTACCAGACTACACGGTGATAATCTCAAATCTCAACAACGTCATATGTTCTCTAACTTTTATTTATACTGCATACTTTTTCTAGGTTTCTAGCTTATATTTCAGTGTGGGGAAGGGGGGGGGGGGCTATCTCATAATAAGACTTAGAGGGAAGAAGTAAAATGTGGCTGTAGAAAATTACATCACGAGGAGCTTCATCATTGTACTCTTCAGCAAATATTATTAGAATAGTCAAATCACGAAAGACGATGTGGGCGGAACACGTAGCACGCATGAGACAGATTACAAGTTAAAAATAATATCGGAAAACTTGAAGAGAATATATTACCTTGATAACCTGGACGTTGACAAACTTCGGTTACATCTGACAAATTTAAAGTACAGACGGAACCTTAAGCAGCGAAATTACAGTACGTATACAAACGAATGAATCATTAAACTATGTCATAGACAATACTGACATGAAATAATTAACACACAAACGTTATTCGTTTTGTGTAGAATGATAATACAGAAGCTGAAACTGTATTAAATAACAGTCCTTGTTCGCCTTATCAAACACAATGACAAATTTGAAGGTAAATAATTCTAAACGCGGTTAAGTTCGTCCCAGCATTTCTTATTTAAATTGGAGTGAGGATAACATACATGGGAAGATGGCTAGACTGTAGCCAAAAAAGCGTAGTATTTGATGTTACAGCTGTGGTTTCTGATGGTGAATGCAAATAAAATACACAAAACTCCATGGTAACAAACAGCAAAGTTTTTCAAACGACAAATCGCCAGGCTCCCGTTCTCAAAACTGATCAGCCTAGATCCTCTGAGGTCTTCTTCCGTCCCTCCAACCTACCCTTTTTTATAAGTAGACGCTTGTTCACGTACTGGAACGGGATATTAGTAATTGTCCGTTCATTACACGTGTTTGTTATTCCAGATTATTTTTCGTCCTTTCGATTGCAACCTTTAACATACACAGAAACGTCGTTTCTTATCTATCCCTATATTTCGTACACAAAATATAAAAACACACTAACGTATGGAACTGAAAGAAATAAAGATAGAAGAGAGTGGTAAGCCATAAATTTAGTTCTATTTAAAAATACAGCAACATTGTAGCCTTCATAAATTCCATGTAAGATACGTGATATAAACTGTCTCCCCTTGCTTGAGACCCCTATAATTAAAAAGAAAATAGGAAATTAAAAACTCCCAAGCAATTAGTACTACATGTTCTGGGACAAATGTAGTGTGACATTCTTTTTAACCACGTCATAATCAACGAGTTGCAATATTTGGGTAAATGTGGAATGAATACATAAATGAACGGAAGCCACGAGACAAGCGACAGTGGTGGAGGCGAGATTGGTGTCAGGCGATGGAAACTCATCTTCTCAGATGTCGATGTATCCTCCTTTCTTCGTCTCAGAGCCATTGGCTATAGAACGGAAGCAGAGTAGGTCAACAGTGAAATGTTACGAGCTACAGCAGAGTCCAGAGACGCTCTCAGGTTCACGCGTACAATGAAATAAGAGCTGGGTCCTAGAATTCGATGCGTTCAGGAACACAGGTGACTCACGAGAGAAGAAAATGGGGAATTGGAAAGGACACGATGGGAAGCGATTGTATTCCCCTGGAAGAACGCAATACAAATCAAGGGGGGGAAATATTCATACGGAAGTCTGCACTCGTGGCGAGATTGAAACAATAATACATTACTATTCAAAAAGTTATCTACTGGTTCAAAAGTCTTAAAACTTGAAAACACGATCTCGCGATGGTAAGAGGCCTGATAGGGGAGCATGTGGTTCGGAAGACTTCAACTTGAGCGGGACGCTTCACATCGGTTTCCATGAGAGTCACCGGTGGCTCTCATGGGAACAGATTTCAGTATCCTGGCCGACAACCATGGGTCACAGAAATGTTTTGTTTAATGGAGGTTCAGTCTTCATGGAGTGAAACAGTGTACTTACAACACCACATCTGGGACATGAAAGATGTATGAGATTTGTGAAAGCCACCGGAGTGTCACACACACAGAGTTAAGAGTTCTGAATTTTCTTGCCAGAAATCGAATCTTGTTCATCAAACCAGTTACTGAGATTAACATCTGTATATGGAAGTGCTTTGTCCACCTACCTGTTTCCGTAATTTTTCTCTGTTAATGCGTCTTTAATTTCCTGAAGACTTAAAATGACACGCTTGCTGTTTGGCACAACATTGTTGCCAACGAAGTAACCGAATTGTTCCAGTAACTGAAGTCACGACAGGGAATTTTCTCAGTCGACGAAACACACTTGTAAACATTTGTGTGCTACTGATCTGTTAACAATGGGCCCTTTCTACTTTATACAATAGAATCTACAATTAAAGGAAGTTTAATTTATTTTACACTCCAACCCTTTAAAACTTAGTGGGAACTGCATGTTTAGCAATCAGTAATTTTGTGTTCTGCCCACGAAGTGCATTAGTCTGTATCATATGATTCCAGAGCAAACTGCTATTATTTCCCTAAATGACATTAACCGATTGATGGTTGTAATGGTTATGGGTTGAGTTTTCTTAAAATGTTTAAATTGTGTTAAGACTAGTGTTGGCTTTAGAGAGTTCAATAAGTTCAAAATTGTTTTATTTTTCGATCACGTTACTGGGATTCGGTGTTATCAGATTCGTGATCAGTATTATTTAGCATCTGAAAATAAGCTACTTCTTATATAGTTTTATTAAAGGTTCCGCAAATTTGCAAATAGTAAAAACGTAAACAGGAGCAGTTAATGACATTAGGTTGCGTCCAAATGCACGACAGTTCCGTGTTGACCACTCATAGTGATTTCTGTTAGATATATGAATCAGGAAGTCTATATTTTTAAAGTATAACTGCGCAGAATCTGAAATCACGGATTATAGCACTTGATGTTGGATACATGTGTACATGCCACAATCACGACTATCAAGATCACAGCCAAATTACAAATGTATAGCTCGAGAGCTGAGAAAATGCAGGAAAAGGGAAGGCCTTGACTCTTCCATAAATACATCTGCCACAGGAGCAACATTGCCGTTGCCTTACTTTCATGACACCAAATTTAATCGAAATTCGTGCATTCGGAATAAAACATGTCTTCCCCACTACTCGCTCTTTTCAAGAACTTCATGTAAAGAACGCATGACAGATAATGCAACTGCTAGGCTGTGCGGTTGGAAAGCGGTTTCCCTCACCCGGAGATGCAAACTTCTTTCCACGCTATTCTCCCCAACCAGTCCACTGCTCGACTCTGAATGGTGAGGGCATCCATGCCTCAATGTTGACCGCGCGAGTGTTTCACACGTGTTAGTGTGAAGCTCAAAAGTGACTTACCCAGTGTTCAAATACAAACTACAACAACGAAAGCTCAACAGCTCTTCTTCAGTAAGCTTGGTAAGTTGCACTCCATGTTTCGTAAGTCATGTAATGATAATGTACTATGCCTACATTCAATAAGAAATTACTTCTAGTTATGCCTAGGACGAATTAGTTTAAATGGATTTCGGGTATTTCAGGATATATACACAAAATTAAAATTCTATGGCCGAAGTCTGATGGTTTTTGGTGGTGGTGCGTTATAATATGTGAAACTATTCTTTTGGACTCTGTCCACCGTCTATATTATAAAATAATAAAACTAAAAAGTTTCGGATGCTGAATTCTGCTTTCCATCTTCCGGTAAAATGGGGGAAGAGGCTAAAGAGCCTATCTGTTGGGGTCCGTGATCTGAAGCTAACTCAACCAGGGGGCTCAACAGAAGAAACCGCTTCAACAAAAAATGGCAGTGAAGAATATGCTTATTAGCGGAAAAGTTGTAATATCTCTGCACCGCGGCATAGATCCCTCGCTTTTTCGCGGTCGTTTCTGCGCAGGCGCACTGAGTAACACACAAGAGCCCGTGTCTGCTGGCCTGTCAGTAAGTAGTTCCGTAGATATCGTGTCACATCGACTGTACTGCGATTGTACTTTTCAAGATTTTTAGGACTGATTGTTGGTTGCCCTTGTGTTCCACCACCCTGACAATATTCTGCCGGGAACATCGTCGTCATCCCAATAAACGCCAACACTATGTTTCCATGTTTACTAATCAATAATTATACGTATCACGCATCATGTTTCTTGTGTATTTGGTTCCCCTAACCCAACTTTTCTCGTAATGTATGAACTTCGCTCATCGCGGTGGTTTTCAACAACGTAACCCCCACCAACGGTATGGGTGTGCTGTATTATTGGTCTATTTATATATCTGTTTTACAATCCATCTTTTCTTTAGTTCTGTCACTCTTTTTGACAATTTTTATCACATCATCGCCTGTGTTAACAATAGGAGTTCCATTTTCTACTGACCTCACAAAACGAAACCAATAAAACACTCACCATTTACAAGACAAGAAAATATGTTTCGTTGTAAAAATTATCCGTCTAATTTACTTTGCACATAAACAACATCTCTTCTGCACCAGAGAGTGGCAATGTTGGCCTACATATGAAATATTTGTCCTAAATTTATAATGTTTCTACAACGTATTATTTCTAATTTCGGTAAGACGCACAACAACATTGTAAACAGAAAGTTTTCGCATATCCATCCTCACTTCGCCACAAACAAGCTACATTTGATGTTTTTACCTAGTTTTACACTTTGCCTATAACAACATGGAATAACCGTAATAGTAACCAGTTTTGCGGTCGTCGTTGTAATTCTTAAAATACAGTACATGAGTAGTTGTGTTAAAAATCTTTTACAACTGTTACACTAATGGGTACGCGCACACCTTGTGACAGTCCGGAGGCACGAGAAGAAAGTTAATACCCGCGAGGCAGAGACATTACAATAGTGGGGCATCTTCAAGTGCTTTCTCCTTTCTGAGAAACATGGTCGTGGCATCCACAGCAATACACGCCCAAACCAACATCACTTATCACATCTGTCAAATACGTCGTATTTTTCCATTAAATTTCCGCTCTCGCCAAGAAATTAAACTTATTCGTTGGCTAACTTCGTAGCCAAAGCGGAAGTTATCCGTCGAATGTTTTCTTAAACCACACTGTATTGAAATAATATGATTACGGCAATTAATTTGATCAAAAATATGACCACAGTAAATCTACGAATGTTTATCGTCATTCAGATCAAAAAGCGTTATGATTTCACCTATTTTCCAAAACATCTGAAGTCGTGATATTTGCTATTTCTTATGTATGTGTATGGATAAATCATGGTCTCCTACTTTGGGGGCAGAAGATAAATTAGAGTTATATCAAAATGCTCATAAAATATTTGATATACGTAAGGAAGAACTTGGTGAAAAAATCAAAAGACGGTACCAAAAGCAGTGATTGGGGAAACAAGAAATGTAGATAGCATTTTGATCCAGAAACTTCTTAGGACACGTACGTGCTGAGATAACATTACGATGGTTGCAGAAAAGATTGGTTTTCAGTATCAGAGGTTGTAACTGGCTCGGGCTCTTGCTGGCTTTGGTATTAAGTGTTGAAGCTTCGGATCCTGTTATCATATTTTGAACTTAGATTCTGAGACCAGACCAGTTTCCGGTCAGCAACATAAAATCGAATTCTGGTCACGGTCATTAACAAGCTGTGGGGAGGAGGGGGGACTTTCTCTGACAAGGTGTATCGACAGACCACATGGTCGAAGTCAGCAGCGCGTCCTCGAGAAAGAAAGAACATTACAGCGAACTTCACGTCCTACAACACTGGCTTGTTGCTGTTTTCCACCCGACACGAACACAATTCACATCAATAACAGCCGTCAGTAGGACGCCCATAAGTTCAGTAATAAGAGAATGGCTCTTCTCTTTGCAGCTCTGCAGTCCTTTACGGCCCGTCATGCTCTTGACGAAAGCATTACTCCTGCTCCTCGTCACAACCACCCGGTCAGAAGATTCGGATATTCAACCAGAAGTCTTAGACGAGAGCTTGCGTCACTTACATCAGCGGGTAAGACAGCATATAGAACAGGTTATTCGTTCGGCGTTTTTTTGTTGTTGTTGTCAACAATAAAGATAACTGTTAGCTGCAAAACTGCAGAGAAAGCAATGCGAAACTGTATGAAGGTGATTATCGTCATGCGCGCTTTCGCTATCCACGGTTTTATTTCCATATAACGAGGAGCATCAATATCCTATCCGAGGCCACGGTACAGTTCGCCGCGCAGGCCCAGCTGAGTTGCGCAGTTTCACCGACTGGACCCACCATTTTGACTTTGGGTACTATAAATGAAGACCTCTCACGGTGTATCACTCAAGACATCCACGGGCATGTTCCACGTTTCCCGTTTTACACGTTTGTGATACACGTGGCAATACCCCCGGCCCGAGTCACCTGTATTCCAAACCGAAGAACACATTTCACTCTTACATACGCACTTGTCTTTGTAAGAACTTGACCTTCCATTTCAGTCACAGTATTGTCAATATCGTGTTCCGTACCAAACACAGCGACTCGTTTTATAATTGGCAAAAGAACCAGATTCCAGCGCACTTTCTTTGTCTCCCTTTCTTCTAACAACGGAAGACTGGATTTCCCATACTTTCTAAGTCCTACATACCTAACCAATCTATAGAATGCTACGTGCATCATTAAAGAGTGTGTTTCTCAACGTTAAGGATCTGGCGGTAAATTTAAAATACATTTATATACATAACATATTAACATATTCTATAAGTTGCCCTAGATTCTGTCGCTTCAAAGACACCTTGACCCACAAGACGTATCTTCAGAAGTAGGAAGAAGAAAGTGAGACCTTCACAAATTTAAGTGTGAAAGTTCAATGGACATGACTCAACAGTCTGAACACTATGGAGAGTCTATTCTGTAATGGTAAACAAACTCAAGGAGGACACTTTTTCTTTCACCAACTCTCTGACAGCTTTCTATGTTCCATTCGGTAAAATTTGTGTATAGAAAATAAATAGGCTATTTACTAATGATGTAAATAGAAAATGTACACATCATTTCATATTTGCATAGTCATTCTATCACATTCAAATTAGAAGAGATGTTATTAACAATCTATTTAGGTCCTCAACTAGCCATCATGATAGACCTATATGCCCTATGAGTGTAACATACTCGTACGTTTCACAGTGTGCATGGGCAGAAGGCATTAAAAAATTCTAACAAACCAGGATTAAATTCCAAGCCACCAAAGCACGAGTCTGTATGGGATTCATAAGTCTTCATCCAACCACCATGTTTTGTATTACATTGTAATGTTACACATTACAGTCATTCTGGCAGGAAAAAAAGTATTTTCAACCTCACACATATTTCATATTTAATATCAGATGAAATTAAATGATATCAGCCTGAAAAGGATAAAAGAAAGAGTGGCCATGGCCTATTTCAAGGTTTTACTACATAATTTATCTGGTTGGACTGATGTAAATCACAGAAAGAAATAAGTCAGGATAACCAGTAACTACGATTCAAATCCACAACAAACAAAATATTTAGCAGAATGTTAACCACTATACTACATTCAGAGAAACCCATCATATTTGCCAGAAGATCATCATATTAAATGATTTTAAACAGGCAAGGGAAAAAATACAGGAAGAATTTAAATGATGATCTCATGAGAACATGTTCTGAAAATTCCTTTAGTAGATTAATGTTATGTGGCAGGAGTGGCCAGTCCAAGACGCACCAGCAGCGTTTCCAGAGGATACCAATGTAGCTCTTCTTGCTCTACCAGGATCACAACCAATAAGGTAAGAACAAAAACTGAGAATCAGAGTCGTTAACTCAAACAGCTAAAACTTTAACAGCCCATGTAAGTACAAACTAAGTATTTCACAAGTATTGGGAACACTAACTGTTGGCACAGAGTGCTTCAAAGTGTGAAAAGAATGAGCTTTGTACAATTACAATTCAAAAGCTAGAATTTGCTTCTAACATCAGGTAAATATGGACAGAAAACTTATTTGTTGGGCCCCCTGGCTAAGCTAGTGGGCCAAGGAGATTTTTGTTGTTGCCCTTTTTAACCTGATGATGTAAGTATAGAATACAACTAATGAAACATAGTTTTAATATTACGAGGGTCGCTCATTAAGTAATGCCCCACATTTTTTTCCTCAGAACATATTTATTCAAGATGGCTCAAATTTAGTGACAATATAAATCAATGTTTCCTTTACACATACTATTTTTCCACATAGTCCCCATCAACTTGTACGGTTTTACGCCAGCGTGGAACAAGTGCATGCATGCCTTGCCGGTACCAGCTCTTGTCCTGTGCACGTAGCCATGTCCTCACTGCTTGAATCACGCTCTCGTCATCTTCAAATCTTGTTCCGCGGATAGCATCTTTAAGTGGCCCAAAGAGATGAAAGTCGGAGGGTGCCAGATCTGGACTGTAGGGGGGATGGGGTAGCACCGTCCAACCCAATTTGGTGATTTCTTCCCGGGTTCTCGGACTTGTGTAAGGGCGTGCATTGTCATGCAGGAGCAAAATTTCTGCTGGATGCTTGTGAGGCCGAACTCGTCGAAAACGCTTCGTGAGGGTTTTCAGGGTCCTGATGTACGCGTCTGAATTGATGGTCGCACCTCTTGGCATCACATCCACAAGAATGACCCCATCACTGTCCCAAAAGACAGTCATCATGACTTTTCCGGCGGAGGGAGTTGTCTTGAATTTCTTCTTTCTCGGTGATTGAGGATGATGCCACTCCATTGACTGCCTTTTTGTCTCTGGCTCAAAGTGGTGTATCCAGGTTTCGTCACCTGTAATGATCCGGGACAGAAAGACCTCTCCCTCAGCATCAAAACGCTCCAACAATTCAGAAGAAATCGTTTTCCTTTGAATCCTGTGATCTGCTGTGAGACTTCGTGGAACCCATCTTGCGCACACCTTCGAATATGCGAGAGCCTGGATAATTGCAATCACACTTCCATTGCTGACTGAAAGCTGTTGGGCCAATTGTCGAGTTGTGATGCGCCGATCCTCACGAATAATGGCATCCGCGCGGTTCAACATGTCTGGAGTGGTGGCTGTGGCAGGACGCCCAGAGCGCGGCAGATCACGGAGCTCGGTTTCTTCACTTCCTGAAGCTTTAACTCTCTTAGCCCAGCGACCAACGGTGCTCCTATCGACTGCACAGCTTCCATACACAGCACACAAACGTTTATGAATGTTCACCACCGTTTCTTTTTCAGCAACAAGGAATTCAATTACAGCTCGTTGCTTGTAACGAGAGTCGTTCACAGACGCCATTTTAACAGTTCACTACAGCTCCGCTATCGGTTGGAATCATTTGAAACTCCGTACACGAACGCGGGAAACATCAAATCTCAAGCATGTAAAAGTACACTTTTCTATCTTCAGTATTGGCTGAGAAAAAAAATGTGGGGCATTACTTAATGAGCGACCCTCGTAAAAAATGTCACAATTTTTAATTGTATTCGGGAGAGGCCTCTTTTCTAACCGCGGTCATCTAAACGGCTATTCTGAAGATTTCCCTCCGGGTGAAGATCGAGATAGTAGGCCTACTTCGATTAGACAATAAACAAAGTAAAAATAGTAATTTAACGCAAGATAATGCACCTTCAAACATGAAGTTTATCTAATTTATGAATTAAAATTTTAGTAATGCATAATTCCTTAAATACATGTTACAGATCCCACAATGCATATAGGCGGAGACGAAAACGTCCTCGTCCACAGCCACCTCAAGACGAGATATATTTTCCATCCTCTACTCAAGTACAAGGTCCTAAAGCAGATGTATTACCTTACAATGAGCAGAAGTCATATTACAAATCTACAGAAACTTCACTACAAGGATACCAGAGCTATGAAACATCAGTCAGCAGTGTTGACAACATCAGATTACCAGACTCCCTACCTTCCCATAGTCTACAGCACCAGCCCCGGACACAGCGACGCCACCCTAATTCATCACGACAAAAACATCAACAACAGGAACGACCCCACTTACCAATAGAAGTTAACAATCCTGATGTCCTGGTTAAGACAGAGGACAATGTTTATCAAAATGACAATGCAAAGCTTGAAGAACAGTCAGTAAATATCTCACAAGAAGAAGAAGACATAATTGTTGACAGCAGCCACAATAACTCACAGTCATTTCTAGAAGAAAACAGTTACACACATAAAAGAAACAGAGATCAACATGAACAACCACATTCTTCTATAAGCGTGAGTAAAGTCACAAAACCACAACAGAATTCATACCGTAAACCTTATCCAGCTCGAACTGAAGAGAGTAATAGTGATGTTGTCGTATCACCACAGGATATTAAAGCATTACTGAAGCAGCGGTCTGGATCACTTAGTCTTAGTGAATTACTCCAGCAGAAGAATTTGTCATTAGCTGACTTACTCAAAGGTAACCTTAATGCTCTGTCTGCACTGACTGGTGTACATAACACAGCATCACCAGAGAGCAAGGCAGGTGACACCAATCAAGAGTCTGTGCCCCTAAGGCGGTTACCACCACAGACAAACTCGAGACGCAAAAATCAAGGTACAGGTCACCATCGAAAGCCCCTTCGATACTCAGAAAAACAAGAGCAAATTTCTGAAGACCATGACTTAGAATCTAATAAGCACAGGCGGTTACCACCAGTTAACATACCTTTACAGAGAATACAACCTTCAGTTGACAGCGACAAGTCTATTAAATATGAACTTGAAGAAGTGGAAGAGACAGAGTTAGATACTAAGGAACACATAAACAAATTTTCGCCATCATCTCCCCGCAGACAAACAAAGGCTACAGATGCAACTCTCATTTCAAGCACAGAGCGGAATGAAGTAACCAAAGTAATTATTACAGAAGACTATAATTCATTCCAAGACTCTGTATTCAACGCTCACAATGACAAACACAATGAAATGCAAACAGAGAATAAAGAAAATAATAGTTTGGTCAGTACAGTCTCGACAACAGAACATGACATAATAATAAATCCTTCTGTATTAGAACCATCTCACAAAACTTCACAAGAAGGTGGCACAAAGCCACAAGAGCCTACAACTGATCACAAACCTGCACCAATTCCTTTAAATGTTCAAGAAACATCTGTCATAGATCCACTGCAAAACTCTCCTGAAGCAGACATTACAGACCATAAAGTTTCAAATTACAACAGACTGCGTGGAAAATATATCCCAAGGTACAGAATACCAAATGCTCAGAAAGACAGCATTAGTAAAGTGGATACTGCAAAGGCAGGGAGGGTCAGATTACCTCCTCCGAACTTATTTCTGTCACCTCTGAGACCAAGAATAATGAACCGAGTTACAAGCCCAAAACACCAAAGTGATGGAACTACAACGGAAGCAATCCAGTTCATCAATACTGTACCACAAACCCACACAACACCCAGAGCAGTCACTCCCATACCAAAAACTGAGGAGTCACAAAAAAAGCAACAAGACACCATGCCTCCTCAAGATCAAAATAGTGATTCACATTCTAATGTTCAAATAACTGACTTAACAACAGAAACATTTCCTGTAACAGATGGAGAAGACTCAGATGAACCTTTATACAAAGTCATTCCAATCCATTCTGAACCATCCAACAGTCAGTCACAAATAACAAAGAAGAGCAGCGAAACAAAATTCACAAGTGTAAAAGATGAAATCCTGGAGTTTCTGAAGACAGACATAGGCTCTATTCATCTAACAAGAATTTTAGCATCTCGTAACATGACTTTAGCTGAACTGATCGAACATCGTGAGAGAGGATCAAGCCAACAGCATCTTGCAGATATATTCAGAGAATCTGGACAGTCAGTCAGTCATTCCACTGAAACCAACATGTCTGAATCAAACCATGAAGTAACTAACAATGAAGTCAAGAATAACATTATTGGAAGCATTAAAGAAAGGAACACATACAATATTCCAAGCATTCAAGAAATGTTCCATTTTTTAGAGGACTCAAACAGTGAAGTCTCAGATCATGAAATAAACCAACAAACAGCATCCACCTCAGAGAATGATGAAAGCAATTCTACAGAAGGTTCTGAATATGCAGGCCAGGCAGAGCAAACATCTCTGGGTGAACCTCAGGTATTTGACATTCTGTCTTTCTCCCCTTCCAATCCTCCTCTATACATCCCTCATGTGCCAACTCTCAGACCTAGTAATCCTAGTCCACATTCTAACCCTTCATGGAAAATATCCTACCAGCATCCAGTCACTATCTACTCTAAACCCACCAACCCGTATTTCATTCCTGACATCAAATCCATTATTGCCTCAAGATTCACAAACCCAACACCACTTACTCCCTTGACTAGCAGCGATATTACACACAGCATAGTTTTATTGGAAAATACTGGCCAAGTACGTGAAGTGGCAAGCACTAAAATCAAAGGCATCAATGGACCTGTCAAAGTTAACAAAGATGAAAGAAAGCAGTCTGTAGTTCTACACAGGGAAGATTTAGTAGATGACCTTGAATCAGACAGTACACTGCCAACAGATGTCAAATCTACAATCACTGTAAGTTCCGCCATATTGGGACTAGCCATTTTAGGCTTCCTAGCAATATTTGTAGTCTGCCGATGGAGACAAAAACGGGCCAGGAGACGATTTGTAGATGGAATTGTAAATGCAAGGGCCCAAAGCCCTATTTTAATGCAGCCAGAAGGAAAGGATGTTCATCAAAGTCATGGTCCTGTGATGGTCAACACACAAGACCTGTACAAAACAGATGTTTCTCTTGATGGCGAAGATGATAACCATGACCCAAGAGCAAGGCGCTACTATTTATGGAGAACCATACGGAAAACACTGAGATACAAATAAAAGTGTCTTACACTTCCTTCTCGATTCAATGCCAATATTTCTGTTCCTGGAGTCTTCCCAATGCTTAGGCATACCATGACAGAAAACAGGTCTGCTGAAACAGTGTGCTGATTGATCCACAAATATTAACTCTTTATATATATCACATACATAAATGATACAAACATGCACCTGATATATAACACGCAGTTGGTCATCCAAATTATCTTCATAATCATAATGAAACCTTGAACAAAACCAACATACAGTGGTAGCCACCACACATGGTATATACCAGGTAAATGGGGTTTAAATCTCCTCTGGCCACAGGGTATGACACTATTCATGTGGCTGCTATCACTGAAGGGTTAAGTATTAGCCCTTTGACATTCATTGCCAAATGGTGATCGAACAAATCAAAACACTTCAACACTAGTGGAGAAGTATACAAGTCGTGTCAGCATCTCGAAGCCAAGCACTCAAGAGCCAATAAAACTGTGAGCTTTAAAATATCATCTAATCAGCCAATCCCAATGTGAAAGACATCAAATATATGGGCTGAAGAAACAAAATGTAAAACATTACTTTTCATCATGTGCCTCAGCCTGTGTGAATGTCAAAAAACTACTCAATTGCAGAGTTTGTGCGTGTGTAGTAAGTGTATGAACAAGTGTGCGTAAAGTATAAAACTGCCTAGCTCAACACAATATTCAATTCTATTGCCCCATAAAACTTTAAAACATGGGCTAAAATAAATAGTAAATTAAACATATAAGAACACATTATAATTCTCGAGATATTCGATATATTTATTTAACTGCATGCTTCATGTGCAAAGAACAG